CCTTGATTGTCATTCATTGTTTCGATTGCTTTGGTTACATTGCTCACCAACTAGTTAGGTATATGTGAGTTGCATTCTGTAAAGTAGCTTTGCACAGAGGCCGTCGCGTTTTCGCGTGGTTTTTGATTGTTAAGATTTGTCAGTTCTTTGTAGAATTTGGGTGGATTCATGATCAGTTGTTCCTTTTAGACTTCATGCTTCATTATTCTTTCTCGGGTCTTGTTCTGTCTCACGTTTAGCAAGAGATTGTTTGAAGTTGAGGAAAGCTTGCTTCTGTTCCATATAACCAACGAACCTACGATGTCTTTTACGGTCGACATGTATCTTGTACGCTGTTAATATTATCTCCAACTCAGTCAAGAGCTGCTTCCGCCATTTGGGCTCTTTCGAACAAGTTGGTACTTTGAAGAATGACGTCATCAAGTGCCTCAGCCAAAATGTTGTTTTCTTCCATAATGATTTTTTTTTTTACTTTAAATGTTTGTGTTCTAGAGTGCAGGAAGAATCGCTCAAAGAGAGCAGCATTTATTTGAATTATACTCTAATCATTTGATTTGGGCACCTAAGCGATCACAGGTGATGATTATTTATTCTTCTTGAATAATCATTCCTGGCGAAACAAAGTTGTTGCTCGTTATTCTAAACGGTTTAGAGATACAGGAAAATAAACTTGAATGCCTTCTTCTTTTTTTTTATTATTTTCTTCTTTTGCGTTTCTTTTCATCGTCGTCTCTCATATTCCTGTTAATTTGTACATCAACGGAGAGTGGTGGCGGTTAGAATACCGTAGAGTAGGCGATGAACATTCAGTCAGGATTTCATACAGGATTTCATTCATAGGATGTAGGATATGCAGGACAACACAAGATGGACAGGAGAATATATGACAGACGGGACAGCAGAGGATATGGATAGGCTCGGTTTAGTTATCAGATGTCACTTATCTCCACAGCTAGAAATTCAGACTATGTGTAAGAATCGCTTTCATTACTGCTAATCGCCAATACGGGATGTTTAATACTTTTTGAACTTTACTCAATTCGAACATTCATCATTTTTCAACATTCGATCAATAAAGATTTGCATTCTTATTATGTAAACCACTGAACTCAGACTCATTTGTCAACACTTCTCTTTCATCTCCTCATTTCACCAGCCCAGAGTCAATAGACGCCCATTTTCTCAAAAGGAAATTATTTGAGGATGTGACTGCCTCAACTTCTTTCTTAACTTGTCTTGCTTCTTCTACCGTCCTGTGACTGCCTCAACTTCTTTCTTAACTTGTCTTG